CTACTCACCCGCATCACTCAGTACTCCAGTCGGGGAGAATACCCGGGAGCATCCCAACAATACATACCCTGCAAGAGAGCTGGCACACACTCCTTCTAGTTGGCCCAACACTACCCCTGTCCCCAGAAGGGGGCAAACACACAGGGAGGTGGTCGAGGAACCAAATCCCGACTACAACACCTCTGACTTCACTCAGGGGACAACTGAGTTTTGGGACAGTACTGAAAACCACACAAGCCCGGACACTGAACGGGATTCAGGGGACAGACAGCCTCCTGACAGGTCTTGGACGGACCTAGGAGGTTCTACAGGAACGCCCGACAGTGATAGCCACTTAGAAGGGCCAGAGAGCCTACAGCTAGGCGGGACAACCAGGTCACACAGAGAAAAAAGCCCTGGCCTGACGAGCCCGGTGGGCAAGCAAGCAGGCCAGGCAGTGGAGCACAGCCCTTGGGAACCCCCAAGGCAAAATAGGGGGATAGGCATGCATCACCCCTCAGTCAAAGGGTACTTGGCAAGCACCCAGAACTTAGGAGGTCACTGAGAGCAAGGAAATCTCCTAAGTATTTGGAGGATTTTGTAACTCTCTTGGCAAAACAGAGCTAGTAGAAAAGTAGAGCAGTGAGGCTGATGGAAAACGGGGAATACCTGGTATCGGGGAGCATGGCACTACACTAAAGAAATGAGTTATGTGTTATTATGGTATGAGGAATAGTTTTAGCCCGGGGGGAAGGGGTGTTATGACCTGAGCCTGTGCAAGCAGGCTCGGGGCATTGCAAGCGGTCCCGGGCAGGTGCAAGTTGCCCGGGACCAGACAGGCTGTCGCCAGTACTGGTGCGCATGCGCAAGTGCTGGCGCGCCAAAAGTTACAGATTGACCCGGGGATGGCCTATATAAGAGGCCAGGAGTTTTGGGCGTTGTCGGTGTCTTCTAACTGTAAAGCTGAACTAAGAATAAAGAGTTCCTGAGAACTACAACTGCTTCTCGTGTCTTGCCATTTCGCGAAGGACGCAACAATTCTGATTCAAGATTTACTTCAGTTTTTTTCTCTAGTCACATCTGCTGTTAAATCTGATTGCTGTTATTCCTAGTTCTGCTGCTGAGAAGTTGACGACTGTTGGCTGGTTCGTTTGGAAATCTTTATTCTGTCCCTTATGAGCAATCTTTTTCCAGTAAATGAACTGAACTCATCAGCTCTGTACTATATTGTAGGTACATAAGAATGACTAATTTATTGCACATAAGTCTCCTTTTAATAATTGTTCTAAGATATGTAAATTAATTCAAGCAACAAGTGAAAGTCTAATTACTAAAAACCTACATAGAAACATTGGTGTCTGTAAGAAATATATGAGATTTACTCCAGTAATAACTTGCTAAGTTACCAAAGTGTTGAACAATATCAATACGTTTTGGCATAGGACACATATAGTTATCAAAAAATGTAATGTAGCATCACCACAGAGCCGTAGTGGTGCAGTGGTTAGACTGCAGTATTGCAGGCTAATTCTGCCAATTGCCAGCTGTTCGATCCTCACCGGCTCAAGGTTGACTCAGACTTCCATCCTTCTGAGATTGGTAAAATGAGGACCCAAATTGTTAGAGGCAATATGCTGACTCTGTAAACTGCTTAAAGAGGGTTGTAAAGCACTGTGAAACTATGAAGTGCTATTGCTATACAGTAATAATCTGTGTTCAGCTCCAGGCACTGTTATAGCTTAAAAGTCTTTCATTTGTCTAATAAGGCAACCCAGTGGTTAAAATAAAATTAAAAGGACATAAAGAAAATCCTTTATGAGTTTATGTAATGGCTTGATAGATAAAAAAAGAAAACATAAAGCAAAAATATAAATGAAAACTTTAACAAAATGATTCAGATTTCTGAAATCAAAGTATAGGAATTCATTTAATTCAGTGGTAATACATGTTTCTTCGAAGCAGCTAGGCAATAAAACTTTATTTCCAATATCCAGAGTTAAACAACAAATTTATTGAAAGTAGAAAAAAAATGATTTGACCCCTTTTTGTTCAATTAGTCTTTACTGAGTAGCTTTTGCTTTTCAGCTGTCTATGGAGGAAATGTAGAAAATCTAACCTTTCCTTTCATGAATTTCCACTTGCCATAACAAATTCAGAATATGATTTTCTATTGTAAATCTCAGGAATAAAATAAATTTTTGAGCTAAATAGAAACCAAAACTCACATGATGTGCAGCTTCAGAGTCAAGCTTTTATTTTGCTGTAATGTTAAAATCTCAAGTATAAATTTTTCCATGAAAGTTGCCCTGGGCTGATCTTGCTCAGTGACATAGGGAAAGTTTAGAAAAGAAATTATTTCTATATTACAGGTCCTGTAGGATCATCTTGAATATCATTGTTTATTTTCAAAGCATTTACCATCTCTGTTTGCGACTTAGTTATCAGAATTTTAAATTGTTCTCAGTAAATATTTTCAATTCTATCACGATTTCAACTAAAGTAGTAAATCTCTAAGTTATTAAATTTCTGAATTAGATGACCCATTCGGGTTTTCATCTGCATAAATGTAGTCCTCCTAGAAAACCATATATCATGGGAAGAAGCTTTTAAAGCACTGAAAAGCTCAGTTTGGTTTTTTTTTCCCTTTTGCACCTTAGGAAAATTAAATTGAAGCTGTCAGGTGGTCTGCTGCCAGCTCTACAGACTGCTATCTGTAGGGATGGAGGGTTGGAGAAGATCTTGTTTTTCTGTATCTTCTTAATTCCAGACCTATAATAAATCAAATGCATAACACCACTGGCCAGTACTTTAGACTAGAAAGGTTTTCAGTTTTCCATTAAGCAGTAATGCACTCAAAGGGTAAGGAGCTTGCTATGTAACTTGGGAATGAATTGAAGTCATAAGTCACCACACTGATATATCATATTGAAAGTCACATATACTGCCTCAAATCTCATATACTGTCACATCAGCAAATATGTTTCATAAGAACTGCTCACAAAAATGTATGTGTTGTATGCGTGCCTTCTTTCTGATGTCTTTTAAATTATTACCGTGAAAGCAGGAGTAATATTTCTCAGCTGTTATGGAAACTTTTTTTTTCTTCACAAGAGTGAGGCAAAAATTATAATAATAATTTGCTTCCTAAACCTATCCCTATGCTTCATTTTCTGTCTCACATAGCATTCTGAATGTAGCGAAAGGTGGAGAACAAATATAAAAGATTAATTAGTTAGTATTGAATTGTTTTAATAATGGTTTTTATTATATGATGCTGATTACCTTTGAGTCCCAAAGGTGCTTTTTCAAAAGGCAACTGGACTTCTTGCTTTTGCTTGAAGATGTTTCGCTTCTCATCCAAGAAACTTTTTCAATTCTCAATGAATGGTGGAGAATGGAAGGATTTATATTCTTTGCAGTCATCTGATCATTAGTACTCTTCAAGCAAAAATGAGATCCAGTTGCCTTTTGAAAAAATCTCTTTGGGACAACCATGACTGGATGACTGAGACTTTCTATAAACCTTTCAGATTTTTGTTATGAGCAGTCTTTAAATTTTGAGGCTATAAGTAGGATACTTTGATTCATCATCCTCAAATCTAACTAATTTTAAACTAATTTACAATTATAAGGAGAAACTGGTTTAGCAATACCCTCTTTTATTTATACTGTATTTTAGAAAACTATTTGGATTGTGTTTTGATGAAACTTGTATAAACTCAGAAGCTAAGCACGGTTGAACTTGGTGAATACTTGGGTGGGAAATTACAAGGCGTATAGGCTAGACTAGGAACTTAAAAACAATTTTGGAATAAGATAATGTCAAATGACTTTTGTATCATTGCCCCAAAAAACTACGAAGCTATATCTTCAAAGAGACCAGCAATCCAATTTGAGTCAAATTACTTGTCTTTGCTTTGAGAAGTATTGTAGTTCTTTAAAACTATCATAAAGCAACTTGCCTCATCCTTTTGTCTGCTTCATGTAGCTTCTCCAATAGTTCCAATATTTAAAAGAGGATTCTGCACATGTGCAGTCTTTTTTTCCCCTCCTGAATGGTGTTTTTCTATTCAGGTAGCATGTTAGAATTAGAGTTATGAGTTCCTAGTATAGAATTATGTGTAGAATTATGAGTTCCTAGTATAGTTATCAGAGTGAATGATAATTACAAAATATAAGGAACAGATGAGGAAATTGCTGTCTTCTGTCCCTTAGAGTTCTACCTTGTCTTTGGTTTCATCTTCTTCTTATTTCCAAACCAAAAAAAAGTTGAGAGTCCAATAACTCAATGCACTTTTATTTTAAAGAATGCCTATGGAGCCTTTTTGGGATTCAGAGGCATTCTTGGAAGTAAATATGACATTAGAGGCTTGTGTTATAAAATATCACCTGCTCATTATTTGTGAATGTTAAAAATCTAAAATGATTGAAGTAAATGGAGGCAGAGAACTGAAGTTCTATTTTCTGTAGTTCCATTTCACTTATGCAATATCTGAAAAGATGCTAAGGTTGTATCTCTTAAGCATGTTATGTAAAAAATTGGGTTTTCTGCAGCCTTGCATTCTTCATATTCCTGATGAATTCTTATTTTATGTCATATCTGAATATTTATTTTAAAGAATATATCTCTTAAACCAATATCAGCAAAAGAAAAGAGTAAAGTCAAGTTCTCTTGGAGATGAGCCTGACTTCTTGTGATATATCCAAATTGATTAATTGATAATAAAATTGAAGTAGTTTGCAACTGAATTATTCTAGAATCTTTTTCAGATTTTCCAGAGTCTATCCTATAATTTCATGATGATCTTTCATCCAAATTTTAACCAAAACTAATCCTCCATTGTTTTCCAAAATCAGATAAACTTAATTAGCTGCTACCACAGGAAACCAGTCTCAAAAAGTGGAAAAAATTAATACCAGAATTAAATAAGTAACAATAGAAATTGGTGTAAGAGTAATAATAAAATTATTAACAGTATAGTTAGAATATAGTTAAATATTTTTTCTCCTTTTATTTTAAGGTCCGTATGTATCATATAACAGTTCTGGAAATAACAAAGGAACGATGTGGCTTTTTCCTTAAAGTAAGTTATTCTTTCTTTTAGCAACTAATTTCATAAAAGTATACTGTTTTAAATTATGTGGTTAAAGTAATAAAACATTTAGTTTCAATATAGGCTTTGCTTTCATTAATTGTAGACTTAGTAAAACAATGTATATTACATAATATTTTAAAAATAGATTAAGACTAGTTGAGGTGTGATAGAATGAAACAGCATCTTGAATAGTTTAAGTTAAAATAAAATAAATTAAGAAAAAAACACTTATACTGGTTTATCCTGGCATGTGTCAGAATACTGTAATATACCAGGGTCTTCAAACTTGGCCCTTTTATGACTTGCGGTCTTCAACTCCCAGAATTCCTCAGCCAAGTCATAAAAGGGCCAAATTTGAAGACCCCTGCTATATACCTAAGTAGCATGAACATACTATGCTAAAAGGCAAATAGAAATTAAAACTGTTTCTGGCAAGTTTTAAACCAGTAACCTTCTATATCAGTGGTTCTCAACCTGTGGCTCGGGACCCCATTTGGGGTCGAACGACCATTTCACGGGGATCACCAAACAACGCAGTCTGCCATTTTTCCCCCCTTTTCCTTAGCTGTGCTACTCCCTTTTATTCTATTGGCTTTTGAAAGCCGATAGAATAGACTCTCTTGAATAGAGTCTAATTCTATTGGCTTTTAAAAGCCAATAGGAATTGTCCAGGCTGTCTCTGCCCTGCTGAGCCCGCCAAAAGTCCCATTCTGCAAATGGTGCTGCACCAGTTGACTGGTCCTCGACTTAGGACCAGTTGAGTAGTCCTCAACTTACAACTGGTTGGGGGGGTTGTGGCATTAAAAAGGTTGAGAACCACTGTTCTATGTACTCGGCAAAGATTATAGCCACTCTAATTCTAATCATAGTATACTAATACATAGCCACTCAAAGCCCAGAGTTACTTTGAAATGAGATGATGTCAAATAAATCTAATAAATAAATGGATAAATAAATATGATTTTGATGCTTTATCCTGATAATTAGTTGACAGTGAGTAAATTTGGAAAATGATTTATGTTTGGTGAAAGGCACATGGACCAAATGTTTGTTCTTCATCAGGTTATACAGAACTGTGCTTGTATGTTTGCTGAGTGGATAGGCTTCAACTATGGAATGTTCGCATGAATGTGGTCCATAGTATTATTGATAGATTATACCTGTCCTGCAGAAATCGAGGTAGTTGTTTACTACAAGTCAAACAAATTGTTGAAGAAGAAGAATGTATTGGCTGATTATGTAAAAGACAGCACTTGGAAAATTTGAGTATTGACAAAATTTCCTTCTGTCAATTGCAAAGTATCACACAGCTTGGATTTGCATGTAAACTATGTGGATACATTACAATATTATGGTTCTTGGGAAGAACTCAATGTGTATGAAGGCCAACACAGGCTAAAGAACTGACAGCTGTAACTTCACATTGTTGTGAATAGATAATAATAATAATATCTTACTGTATTGCATATTGATGTTTGAGCAGAAAACTAATAAAATTAACTATTTTGAATTCATTGCTAGCCAACTGTGGCATCTGTTCAAATTTTCTTTGGATTTTTGCCTAGGAACATGTCTGTAATGTATGATATATTGCTCTCCCGCAGTATAAAATCGAAGCAGACCACAGAAGAAGTGAATTATTCCTCTTTTCCAAATTTGGAGATTTCCATAAAACTCTGTATGTATATGTATAGGTAAACACTTATGTACTTCTGAATTTTTTTTAATTTTCTTAGCTAGGGATACATCTGGCCTGAAATATATTTTTATAAAATTTGCTTAGCTACATCTGGCCTGTATACATAGTTCATCAAATACATTGCAGCTGGATTCAGTGCACACTGAGTAAAGTAAAGCTAATACATAATAGCTTTTTAAAAAATTGAAGTAAAAATATGTAATAGCAATTATTATAAGGAGCATGCTTTACAGCAGGGTTCCCAATCCCCAGTTTGTGGACTAGTACCGGACCGCAGCATGCCAGAAACCAGTCGACACAAACAAGGAAAGTCCCATCCACAGCATGCAGGCACCACACAAAACAACTGAGGCATATCAATCTTTCCAATATCTGCATAGTTTGGACAGTGATTTTGGATGTCTAACTAATCTGAAGACACATGATGTTCCTTAAGTATTTGTAGGCCTATCCAGGTTTGAGGCTAAGTATCAGATCAGTATTTGCGAGACCGCCTACGTCCGGTTAGATCCCACAGGCTGGGCCTCCTTCAGGCCCTGTTGGCCAAGCAGTGCCATTTGGCGGGGCCGCGGAGGAGGGCCTTCTCTGTGATGGCGCCCACGCTTTGGAATCAGCTCCCCCGGAGATTAGGACCGCTCCCACCCTGTTGGTCTTCCGTAAGCTACTTAAGACCTGGCTTTTCCGGCAGGCCTGGGGTTTATAAAATCCTTACCCCTGGATGATTGTTTTTGTATTGTTGTTTTATTATTTTTTATGTGTTTTTTATTGTTAGCCGCCCAGAGTCCTTCGGGAGTGGGGCGGCTTATAAATTTTAAAAATAAAAATAAAATAAAAATAAATCTCTTTGAATGAAGAAGAGTGCTGATAGGATTTGATTTCTCCAATTTCCATTATGTGAGAAGGTGCGCATAATTGAAATTTAGATCCAAGCAGTTGATGGCAGCTGAACATAGTTTAGCATGTAATGCAGAGCCTTGATTTCTCAGCAACAAATTCATTTGTATTGACAAGGATTTTCACTCTTCTTTCATGAAAAAGGAAATTCTTATTCCATTAATGGCATACTTGTAGAAGAGATTCAGTTGTCAGGTTAGAGATAATGGTGCAACCTTGCCATATACTCCATAGAGTATATGGATTCAGCAGCTTCATAAATTTAATGATAAAAGTCTGTACAGTCTGAAGAAACCTAAAGATAAAAATTTAGCTCTATATAGAAATAATTCACTGTTTTCAGAAAGATGATCAGTGTTAGAAATTCATAACACCTGTTTAAAGGTCAAATATTTTTATGTAGGTGGAGTCTCTGAAAGATAGTACTTTTGTCTATAATAAAAGTCATTCAGAATTATTTTGGTTCTACCAGACCAGATAGATTTAACCTTATGTATATTTCTCTGAATTGGAATTTGTTCTCTTGAAAACCATCCTTATAAGACCAGGTTTGTCCTTTTTTGCACTAAAATAGTTTTATTTGCAATGCCAGTATTCTGAGTAAGCATCCTATCTATTTATATCTTTCCGAAGATTATTAACATGTTCAGATGGATGAAAAGCCTTGTTGTGTGTTCCCAGAATTACATAAAATATTTTAAGCAATTTGCATAATGAGGATGCATTGTTTTTTCTGAGTCTGATTCAGAATCAGATTAGTGAAAACAATGATTAATTGAAAATCTTTGTTTCATGCTAATAGGTTGCAATGTTACTGCTCTTTAGAAGATACTGTCAGCTTGGATTTTGCATTGTTACTTGAAATTGAGTATTTGTGAATGTGTTTTTAATCAGTATTGCCACTAAAAATTCTTTGAAAATATTTGAATCCTCTTTTTTCTACTCCCTGGTTTGATTAAACTAGAATTGGATTTCCTTACATCTTGGAATAAGAGGAGGAAAGCACCCTATTGATTTGATCTACACATTGTAATTGCTATGCAAGGTAGACCTCACTTAGTTACCACAAGTAACCCTAACCCTAACCAACAACACTGTTGCTAAATGTTGCAGTTGCTAAATGGAAATTAACATAGCTGCAATGGGCTTATGACATTACTTCCCCTTCAGTTATTAACTGAATCACAGCATTGTTAAGTTAATATGTTAATATGCGACTGCAATTTTTCTGCCGTGTTCTCCAATAATTCTGCTTGTTGGAAGCCAGTTGTGAAATAATAATGCTCACATAACCGCAGGATGCTGCAACTGTCGTAAATGTGTGGACTGATTGCAAAGCTGGCTTTTTTACATCATAATTTCAAACAAGACAGTAACCAAGAACTATTTGTAGAATATATGTATTACTCATTCCTACTATATAACTATTATAAATGATCTATTTCCATTTTGCATCCTATCATAATTAGTATAAATTGGAGGGAATCAGACTTTTCCCAGACTTGCTTCCATTTCAGAATGGTAACTGGGCTTCTGTGTGAAGAGCTTTGATGTTGTAGACATTACCACAGTTGAATGTATGTGCTGAAGGTGGATAAATTTATCTTTCTCATTGCTACAAATCTGTGAGTTCTAGTTTGTGTTAGTTCAGTAAAATATTCAATATTATTTTTAAAAGCTATTAAATTTTGTAAATATTCTTGTACACATTTCTTATACTTGACCATCTTTAAATAAATAAATAAATAAACTTTATTGTCATTGTATGTGTATACACAGTGTACAAGTTTTATTAAACAAATTTGCCTTAGTACCATGCATTTGAGTGCATTATTTTCACTAGGAAGCAAGATTTCGCTTAATAACAATTATACAAAGAACTGCACTGCAAATTGATAGCAATGTTTATTTTGAAGATTAGTGAATTTCAATTTGTATATTGATTAAAAATATGAAATAGGTTCACATCAAAATATCACTCTAAGTTCATCTGAAATACTAGCATTTGGTATTGACGTGTGCCATAATCTCTTCACTATACTTTTACCTTTTGTAGCAATTTTTTTTCTTTTGTTTCTATCGTTGATTTTCTTTTCAATTCTAGCAAAAATAAAAACCAAGAATAGAAGAGTAGATAACCCATCAACTTGCAGAATGGATAGTACAGACATCATAGCTGACATTTTATCTGTCAAAAATTGATTGTGAGTAAGCAGCTGATACAATATTCCTTCCTTACATGTATTTGCATAGCTACAATGGGTGGAAAATTGGTGGATTTTATCTGCAAAATTACTTATTAAAGATTAGTAGAATTATAGACACACGCACACATACCTTGTATTAACCTTTCTTATACCACTGTAGAAATAAGGAAACAGTTTGTAGGGGTTTT